CTTGAGCCCCGCAGCCCTCCCCAGGGCCCAGCTAGGCTGTGGGGGGCTCCCCACGCAGAAAGCGTGCCCAGGCCTTTCTGTGCACCCAGAACCCGTGGTGAGACTGGCAAGAGCCAAGCCTCATGTGGCAGGGACACCTGTCCCCAGGGCAGCCCTGAGGTGCCCCCACAGGTCCTGCACCTGGCCTCGCGAGCACTCCCCACCATGGGCACAGCACCTCAGTGACCCCGCAGCGCCACCCACCAGCACGGCCTGCGGTCAGGTGCACAGCCCCACTACTCGGCCTGCTTTTCTCCCATGCACACCGAGCCGCAGACCCAGCAAGGCTACCAGCAGCCTATCCGGGGGACCTACACCTCTCCACAGCCAGACCGGAAGACACTGGCCGTCCTCCATCCCCACGTGCGAAGTGCATCTTTCTTCCCGGTCCTACATCCTCATCTCACTTGAGCCACCTTCCAGGGCCCCAGCACTCCCCTTTGGAATAAGGCTGGTTGGCCTAGACACACCCACAGGCATGCGCACACACATGTACGTGCTTGCCCCTTTGCCACATTATGGTGACACAACGCATTCACAATGTCGGGCTGTGCACCTGCTGGCCAGGTCAACCCCAGCCCTGTCCAGAGGTAGAAAGGGGGGACCTGACCCAGTGGTGGCCTCCAGCCGGCTTCAGGGCTCAGCCCAGGTGTCTTTGATGTGAGTACACAGCATCCCCATGCCAACTAGGATGTCCCCGGGGGGCACCGGAGGGTCCTGTGGGGCTCAGCCCTGCCCACCGCTGGGCCAGGAACAAGTCAGAGCCCACTTGAGCAGAGCCCAGAGCCGCGGCAGCAGAGGACCGTGCTGGGGACAGACAATGAGAGCACGAGGAGGGCTGGGACTGGTGCAGGGCCCGCTGTTCCCTGCTGGGGTGGCCCCGGCCCAAGAGCAACAGGGCAGCAGCTCCCAAACCCCATGGGCCTTCTGGGGCTGTGCAGCAGCAGCACGGGGAGGCGCTGGAGAGATGCTCGGGCCATGCCCAGGGCCGCACCAGAGGAGCCAAGGCACTGCTCCTGCCTAGGCCTTGTCCACCCTCCCCAGCCCTGAGCCCCAGATTCCTCCAACCCCAAGTGCTGCCAAACACCCCTGCACATCCAGGCCCCATGGCCCAACACGCTCTCCTGGCCCCGCTCCCAGGCTGCCCAGCCCCACCCTGCCCCAGGCCCATCTTCCCCAGTCTGTCTCAGACTCAGGGAGGGATGGAGACCTCTGAGCCCGAGGCCACCCGACCCCAACCTGCAAGAGGGCCACCTGCTTGGCCTTGCAAGGATGAGCCTGCAGGAGGACTGAGGGCTTGGAAGAAGTCGCCTGAGCCCGGAGAACTGTAAACACGTCTCAGGAGGGAAGAGGGCCGGTACCCTGGGAGGTGCCCTGAAGCCCAGAATGGGGACTGGACTGGCCCAGCGGCCAGGTGACAGGCATGTTCGTGAGACACCACATCTGAAGGGATACAGTGCAGGTCCCAAATGACCTCACTCGGCCTGGGCTGCCAACATGCCCTACCTTGCTCAGGGCTTCGGGTGTGCAAAGGGGTGGGGCGACATGGCTGGAAAACCTCCGGACAAGGGGCTTCAGTAAGTGCACACGGCACACATGACTCATTCCACAAAGGTTTATTGAGCGCCTCCCGCTGCCACTCTGGGCAACCACCACCGAGGGTCCCCAGGCCAGCCAGGGACCAGCCAGCTAGGCGGGCACAGAAGCTGGCTGCACCAGGTGGGGGTGTGGGGGGGCAGGTGGAGGAGGGCAGGGCAGGCACAGGAAGGGCAGGAATCTCCCAAGCAGGGCGTAAGGCAGAAGGGAGGGCGTTCGGGGAGGCTCAGAGGCCGGGCAGCACCTGGAGGTCAGCACAGGGGAGAGGGCGTACAGGGCAAAGCCAGGGAAGGCTGGGGCTCGGCAGCAGGTGTGCCAAGGAGGGGCCAGGCATAGGCCACACACTTGTCAATCTCCAAGTCTCTTCTGGGCGTGTGGGCTGGGCCACCTCCTTCCGGAGCTTCAAGAGGTCCCCTGGGGACCACCCGCCCGATGGCAAGTCTCCTGGCAGCCCCGCTGGGCAGCAGAGCTGCTCACTGCTCGACTGGAAGGGAGACTCAGCTGTGCCCACGGCACCCTACCCACTAAGCCACACAGGTGGTGAGAGGAGAGGTGGGCACTGGGGCCCCCAAGCCTCCCTTTCCTGGAAAGGCCGAGCTGCTGGGTACTGAGGGCCATGCAAGGGCCCGCTCTCTGGGCTGGGCCAGGTCCTCGCCACCCCCCAGCCTCCCTCCAAGTTGCTCCTGGACACCAGGTGGCCCCAGGGTACTGCATCCCTCCTTTTCTTTCCCCCGGCCGCCCCCTGCTGGAGCTAGAAGAGGGCAGGAGGGAGGGGCAGGGGCCCCTGCCAGGCTGGCTCCAGCTCCAGTTCCCACACAGCCCCTGCCAGCCCGCTGGTCACAGCTGGATCGCGGGCTCCTTGGGCCACTACCTGGCTCTGGACAGCTGAGACAAGACGTGACGGGACCACAGAGAGCTTGAGTGCTGTCCAGGTTGGGGGCAGTGGCCACCAAGAGGAGAGAGGCAGACAGCAGGACACACAAGGAAGGAGAGCACTGCAGTGGGAGCCGTCATCAGGCTGTGTCCAGAGCCCAGAGTCGCTTGGACCCTGGCTGCCTTCACCTGCTCAGGAACCTGTGGAGCTGGGGCCTGACATCCTGTTCCCCGGCCCTACGTTGGGGGGCGGCCTGTCAGCCCGAGAGGTACCCACAGCTCCCAAGGGCACACAGGGCCCTACAGAGGAGCACCGCTTCGTGGGTGTCCCCAGGCAAAAAGGGGTGAGGTGCCGGTGCCCCCACAGGGGTCCAGAGGGGCCAGACTCCCTTCTGCCTTGCACCATGCCTTCTACACACAAGCACATGCATGTATACATGTGTGCACACACGTGAGGTACACACACACACACACAAAGCAGCAGCAACACATTCCCAGTAGCACAAAAAGGCCCTCCCAGCCCAAAGTGGCTTCTGCACTGTCTGAGCCTGAATGTGGAAGTGGGGGACCTGTCCCCGTGTCCCTGCTGCAGCTCCATGTGCAGACACAGGCCTTAGACTGGCACCCCGACATCAGCAGTCAGGGCTTTAGGCTACCATCAGAAGTTGGGAACCCCAATCTCCTCTTGTCCCTGCCCAAAAGGGGCGGCCGAGAAGACCCCCCAGCCTCCTAAGACTTGGCCAGCAGGAGGCTTCTCCTCTTAGTGCCTCCGGGCCCTCCGAGAGACAGGGGCTGGGACAGGGGAGGTGCTACCTGGGGGAGGTGGGGTGCTGCTAGAGCGGGGATCACAGCGGCGGGCTCGGGGACAGCTCCCTAGCTCACCAGAAAGACCCCCCCCATACTGAGGGGCTGTTTGGGGGCGCTGAGGAAAGCTGCAGAGACCAGCCGCCTTTCCTGAGGGGGAGAGGCTCCGGGTGTACGGCCATGCCCCACAGAGCCCGCCTCGCCCGGTAGAGCCACAGACCCCGCGGGGCCTCGTGGGGCAGAGGGTCCTGCCGGGGCCGCGAATCCAGAGGGTACGCCGCCGGGCCGGGTCTGAGCACCAGGTCCTTGGTCCCACGGAGGGACCCTGTGATTCCGCCGAGAGCGATCCATCCCCCGGCGCCCCGCAGGGCTCGGCCCACCCCAGCTCGGCCGGGCGCGAGCGAGCGCCGGCCCGGGCCCAGGAAAAAGTTGGGCAGCCCGGTCCCCGGGGGCAGGGCGACGGGACACGGGCGGCGGCTGCGGCTCAGATCCCGCCACCCGGCGAGGCCCCGGCCGCGATTGCAGTTTGGGGCCGCTCGGCGGCCCGGGCCCGGGCCTGGCCGCCGCCAACCCGGTCAGGGTCCTGCCGGAGTGGACGAAGTGCCGGGCGAGCGGGACTCGCCCGCGGCCTCAGGGACCCCAGGTCAAGCGCCTCCCCGCCCCGCCGCCCCCGAGCCCGGGCCGCCCGCCCGCCCCGGGCGCCGCGCGCAATCAGAAGGTCTCGGCGCGGCAGCGGTCCGGCCGGGGCCGCGGAGTTGGGGAGTTGCCCCGCGCCCCTAATGCCGCCGCGCACAGCCGCGGTTGAAGTACGCACTTGACGCGTCCGGGCGCCTCCGCGGTGAGTCGGGAGCCGCTCGGGGCCGCGAAGGTGGCTGCGTTCGGGCGCTCCAGTCTCGACGTTCCCGGGGCCCAGAGCAACGTCCGGGGACGAACGGGACGGGTGCGCCCGGCGGCCGGGGCTGCGCCGGGCGAGGCGAGCGGCAAGAGGGGAGCACTCCGGCGTTCAGGCAACAGCTACCCCTAGTGGGAGAGCCGCCGGGGCGGCGGCGCCGCCCCACGCCCCCAGCCGCCCCGCGCCCCGAGCCCCGCGCCCGCCCGCCTAGGCGCTCCGAGTGCACGGGCGCAGGCCGGCGCCGCCCGCCCCAGCCTCCCGGCCCCGCGCCTGGCGCCGACGCGCCCGCGGGCTCTGCCCTCCGCGCTCCGGTTGCACCAGGACCCGGGCGGCCTCTGACCCGCAAGCCGAGCGCCCCCGGCGACGACATGGGACGGGGCGGGCGCGGCCAGGCAGGCGCGCGGCAGCCTTGGGCCGCGGCGGGGGGCGCGGAGCGCGGTGTGCGCGGCGGGGCGGCGCAGGGGGCGGCAGTGTGCGAGGCGCGAGTGTGAGCGCGCGCGGGGGGCGGGCGGGCGAGCCGGGCCCGCGGCGGGGACCCAAAGTTGCTCTTCGCGGACCCGCGGACCCGCGTCCCCGGCGGGGCAGGACGGGAGCGGGGGCCACCCGGGCGGCGGCCGTGGGCAAGGCTCGCGCGGTACCTGGGCAGCGACCCCGCACGAGCGGCGGCGGCGTAGGCGGCGGCGCGCGGGTAGCGAACCGGAGCTCCGGCGCGGCGCAGCGGCCGCCGGGGAACTCGGCTCAGGTGCGGGGCGACCCGGGCGGCGCGGGGCGGCGGCGCTAGCTGTGGGACCTCTGCGCCGGATCCGCCGGCCCCCTGCCGCGCCGCCCCGCCCTCGGCCTGCCGGCGCCCGCCCTCGACCTGCGATTTCCCGGGCATTGGCCGTGCCGCCGGGAGATCCCTCCGGGTTCAAGTTGCAAGGGGGCGGGCCCGGGCCGGAGGTGGAGTCTCCCGCCAATTGCAGCCTTGGCTATAAATTGAGCTCCCTGCACGCCAAAGCCCAGATGCCTCACCAGGCCGCCTCGCGGTTGGTGGCCGGAGAGGGCGACGGGTCCCAGGGGGCCTCGGGGCCCGTGGCCACCATGCTCCGCTCCCTGCTGCTTCACTCCCTGAGGCTGTGCGCCCAGACCGCTTCGTGCCTCGTGCTCTTCCCGCGCTTCCTCGGCACGGCCTTCATGCTCTGGCTCCTCGACTTCCTGTGCATTCGCAAGCATTTCCTGCGCCGCCGCGGCCTGGGGCAGCCTGAGCCCGGAGTGGAGCTCAACAGCGACGGCGAGGAGGTGCCCCCCGATGACCCGCCTATCTGCGTGTCCGATGACAACCGCCTGTGCACCCTGGCGTCGCTCAAGGCTGTGTGGCACGGCCAGAAGTTGGATTTCTTTAAGCAGGCACACGAGGGCGGGCCGGCGCCCAACTCCGAGGTGGTCCTGCCCGAAGGCTTCCAGAGCCGGCGCATCCTGGACTACGAGCAGGGGAACCGCCCGCTGGTGCTCAATTTTGGCAGCTGCACCTGACCACCGTTCATGGCGCGCATGAGCGCCTTCCAGCGCCTGGTCACCAAGTACCGGCGCGACGTTGACTTCCTCATCATCTACATCGAGGAGGCCCACCCTTCCGACGGTTGGGTCACCACGGACTCCCCCTACATCATCCCGCAGCACCGGAGCCTGGAGGACCGGGTCAGCGCGGCTCGGGTGCTGCAGCGGGGCGCGCCTGGCTGCGCTCTCGTCCTAGACACCATGGCCAACTCCAGCAGCTCGGCCTACGGCGCCTACTTCGAACGCCTCTATGTCATCCAGCGCGGCACCATCATGTACCAGGGCGGCCGTGGCCCAGACGGCTACCAGGTCTCAGAGCTGCGCACCTGGCTGGAGCGCTACGACGAGCAGCTGCACGGCCCTCAGCCCGGCCGGTTGTAAACAACCGATGGACAACTGCCTGGACTCGGTGGGCTGGGCCTTCGGGCTTTCGAAGCCCGCGTGCAGTCTCCACCAGCGAAGCCGGGCTTGGTGAGACCCAAGGACCCAGATGCATTGAGCCCTGCCTCTCTGGCTGGGTCTGGCACTCGGCCACTGAAGACCAGCCTCCGTGGGACTCTTGTGACTCACTTGTACCTGCCTGGCTGGCCTGAAATCCCCCTGGGGCACTGAAGCAGCGCGCGCACACCCATGCCTGTGGACCCGCAGGCCTGGCCTCCGCGCACTTTTGCACACCAGCACTCCAGCCCGCCGAGCGCCGAGCGGCGGTGCGCGCATCTCGCAGCAGAGATACCTTGGCCACGCCCGCGCGCCGGGAGCGCAGCTGGGTTCCAGCAGCTCCAGGCTTCGCTAGTTGCCTGGCACCCACCTGTCGCGCGCAGGGAGCCCTGCTGCCTTTGTGTTTATTTCTTGTCTCTGAGCTGAGGGGAGGATTTGGGAGGGAGAGGGTGGGCAGGGTCGTCTTCCCCCTCCTTTGGGCGCGCACGAGCCCCTCTGCTGATGACGAACTGTCTCTAACTGGTCTTGACCACGAGCCGGTTCCGAATTGCAGGCTCGAATCGGTGCCGAAAGCGAGAGGGGGAAGAGGGCCCCGGACTTCGGAAAGGAGACCGCCGTCAGTGGGGAGGGAGTGGGAGGGGCCGCTTCCGGGCTAGAGGTGGTTTGAGAGGCCTCGGCGAGCTTCGCAGCGCCCGGGAGGGGAGAGGCCAGGACTCCTGGAGAGCAGGCTTGGGTGGGGGCGGCCCGAGAAAGGGAGATGGGCGGGGCCTGAGACCGACCGCTGGGCCCGGAGTGGAAGGCTCTGATTTCGCCGCCTGGCGAGAGTAGTGCTGATGATATTCCCTGTGTATGAACTTCGTTTAAGCTATAGTAATAAAGGCTTAAAGTAAACTGCTTTATGGTTGCCCTCGGTGCCTTTATCTGAAGAGCTGCAGGAGCGAAACAAATCTCTCCCTCACGTCCCCATGGGGACCCGGGGGAGGGGGCGGGAAGCAGCCTAGGGTGGATGGAGTGGGAAGGGGTGCGGTAGACCCGGGGCGCGCTCCTACCCGCGCACGCACACACCTGGGCGGGGAGCTCGGGGGCGGTAGAGCAGCGAGGAAGCGGAGGCCCGCGGGGTCCTGGAAGGAGGCGGCAGAAGCAGGGGGTTCGCACTCGAGGCTGCGCGCGCCCACGACCGCACACACGCGGACAGCTCCCGCGGCAGCGCGCTTTAACGTCCAGGCCCGAGGGGGAGGGGCGGCGCTCGGGCGAGGGGCTTCGAACTCGCGAAGCCCCGCGCCCGCCCATGTGGGCGCCCCGCGCACCTGACCGCTCTCCCGCCACCCCCTACCTCCCCGCTGGCCTCCCCGAGGCAGGACCGGGGTGCCGCTCAGGGCGCCCCACCCGGGACGCCCCCTCCTGCACCTCCCCCGGCTGAAGCCGAACCTCGCCACCACCCCAAGCCGCTCGCGGCTGTGAAGCAGAGAAGGGGGCCGGCGGAGAGAGCAGGACGCCCACGCGGGACGGCGGAAGGGGTCGGGCGCAGGGCACAGACCCCGCCCGCGTCCCCGCCAGGCGCCCCGCTCGCCGCCCGCCCCCGCGCTGTCCCCGAGACTCCCAGAGAGGAGGCGACGCGGAGCCCAGGATCAGCGCGGCCGCGCCTCCCTCTGCCAGCGACACCTGGAACCGCAAAGGGCAGGGCGGGGAGGGGCGGGGACCCAGGAGAGGGCGGAGTCCGGAGACCTGGGGGCCTCTCGGGGTCTAGGGCGGAGCGGGGTCTCTGAGGCCCAGGACGGCGCGCCTGCGCGTGCGCGTGGGGCGCGGGGCGTGGGGCGTGGGGCGCGGGGCGGGCGGGGAGGCCGCGGTGCCACCAGCTTCGCCCCCGGCTCCGCCCCAGCCCCCGCGCTGCTCCTCCCTGCAAACTTTTTGGGACTGACACCCTAAATTTGGGATCTTTTCAAATTCCTTTTCTTTCTCTTTTGCTTTAAAAGTGTTCCAACTGAAAAATAACTTTTAAGAAAAATCGGTACAGATGGTTTTTCTGCATCTCCTCCCCGCCCCGCCCCCCCCCCCTTGCGCACTTCGCCTTCCGAACCCCACCGGCTCCCGGGAAGAACGCGAAGAAAGCTCCGGACGCCGCCGCAGCCCGGCAGGGCCGGTGCCGCTGGTCCGGCGGGGACTTGGCGCTCGGGGCGGCCCGGGACCGCGGGAAGAGCGCGCTCGGCCGTTCCTTGTAGCGGCTTCCCCGCCCGGAGCCTGCGCTGCCCGGCCTGGCGCTTCCCGGAGCTGAACTGGACGCGCGGCCAGGGCACCTGCGGCTCCCGCCACCCTACGCCCGCGGGACCCGCTCCTCCTCGCCCGCACACGCGCCCTGTATTTTTCTTTCTTCCTCCTTCCCTCCGGTCCTTCCGCTTCACCTTTTCCTTGTTTTCCCTCTTTTCTTGTTTCTTCCTTTTCTATTTCTTTTTCTGTGTCCTTTCTTTGAAATTTTCCCCTTCTTACAAAAATAATGCATGCTTCTGCCAGAAAAACCAAAGGATCTGAGAAGAAACTAAAACCAACCCTAGGTGGATCCCGGTGCACCTCCTTCTCTGCCCGCCTCCCCACGTGTAAATGCATACCCTAAGAACAGGCGGACGCCCTGTGTCACCTGCGGTAGCTGTTTACCGGCCCTGCGCCCCCTTCCCAAGCCCCCTTCTTTCCCTGCCAAGTACAGTTTATTGTGGTCGCTGAATGAAAGGAGGCCGGGCAGTGCTGGGGTGCACACCGCTGTGGCAGGGTGTCCCTTACTGTGAACAAAGCCAGGCTGAGCCACGGGTGCCCAGCTCTGTCCTTTCTGGCCTCAAAATACACATCGTAAGGCGACGCGGCCAGGTGAGGACACGGGCACATCTCAAAGATGTCAGTTTTCTCGCGCATTGCTAAACTGCCTTGCAGAGAGGCGATTCGATTAGTTTTGTATTTTCCCAGTTCTCCTCCTCTTCTTTATATTTAAGTGAAAAGCACATAGATAACACATAAATCCATCATCATTATTAAATTTAAAATACATAACATAGAGCAGAAAACGAAATCCTCTCTGAGAGCAAGATTTTTCAGACTAAATCAGGGCCCAGCCAGGAGTCATGAAATCAATTTATCTGATCAAGTCAGGCATTTTGAAGCACTGAAATAGCATAAATACAATAAAAATACCTGTGTTTATTTCACCTAGGGAACCAGTTTCCAGCCACTTTGGTTTCAGTCAAGTACCGTGTGTGTGTGTGTGTGTGTGTGTGTGTGTGTGTGTAACCAGCTGGTTGATGTGAGATGTCTTTCTCCATAGGAGCAAACTGTTAGGAAACGTTTGCAAGCCCCGAGTGACTGACTGTCCCCTGCACAGTCCCTGTGACCTGTGGGCTGCCCCTCCAGATTCTAGTTCACACAGTCCCGACTGAATGTGTCACATGCTCAGATAGGTTTTCCATGGTGGGGATTGCGCCCTGCAGGGTCTGATGACGGGCCACCCCACACACTCCTGTGCTCTTCCCTCCCCTGCCCTTTCCCAGCAGGTCTGAGCCTGCGTGACTTGTGCCTGGTACCATCCTGATGGCTGAGGATCCTCCCCCTTGAGGAACTCAGCTCTGTCCCCAAGGAGTGCTGGGATCTGCGACAGGAGGTGAAACCGCCATCATTGTTATTGTCACCGTCACCAGCATCCAAGGCCCAAGCGGCCACGGTACTGTTCAGCCTTGGGCAGGAAGAGAGGAGACACAATGAACGAGCTCATGGAAAGGTTGTCTTTGCCCTTCCCCAGGAAGACAAGGGAGAAAGGACAACCTTGGTGGGAGCCATAGCAACACCCTGGACACGGAAGAGCAGGAGGGTGGCAAGGTCACAGAGGAGCAGCAGAGAGCCTGGCCATCGTGGGCAGAGATGGAGAAGCCAGTCTGGTATCTCTGCCGAGACTGTGGGGACAGGAACTTCAGGTAAGATAGTGGGGCAGGGGGTCAGAGGGGGTCGGGCGGAAGAAGCATCAGAGGCCTGGGCTGTGGTGGGCGTCCATCTATCCAGTGCCCGCAGCTAGAGCACTTCCGGGCAGGCTGGCATCCCCTGTAGCCCAGCGGCTCTCCCTGGGCCGTACCTGGAGGGAATAACCAGTGGGCGAGGAGGAGAGGGACCCCCACAGGGGTGAGGACGGGAGGAAGTGACATCAGTGTTTGGTCCAGGGCCAGGTGGGAGGCAAGGGCATTCGAGTTGGTCACTCCAAAGCTGCCCTTGGATGGAGATGACATTGGCCCAAGTCCTGGAGGAGGAAATTGAGGTTCACCACATTCACAGTGAGCTGGGCTAAGGTGTTTGGGGCTGACCTGTCCCTGCACATTCATAGCTTACAGTCCTAAACTCCCATCCCTCGGCATGCAACCTTATTTGGAAATGAGGTCATGAGGGTGGGCCCTAATCCAGTGGTCCTGGTATCCCAGAAGAAGAGGTTAGGTCACAGACACGTGGAGGGGAAAGACCATATAAGGGTGCTCCAGGGCGTCACCTGGGAGAACCCAGCCACCTCTGTTGGCAGGGAAACTGAGGCAAGCTGTTTCAGTCTGAGTCTGCGGGACTTTACCTCGGCAGCCCAGGGTGAGCAGGGTCTTTGCCCACAGCCTCTGTGACCTCGGCCCTGGGCTTAGCGTCAGGCTCCAGGCACAGGGTCCCTTTCCAGGCAGCCGAAGCCAGTCAAGTCACCCGAAGGTCCCCCTCTGTGGCCAAGTGAAACGAAGCCCCCAGGACGGGGTCTGAATCAGGGCACTGAGCGTGCCTGCGCTTTTCTAAATTCCCGCAAAGATGCACACACAGAGCTCTGGAAAAATCCACCCGAGGTAGTCACAGTCAGCCCTGTGTGGGTGGGATTGGGAGTGTTTTCTTGCTTCTTTCTTATTGCTTATCCGTAGCCTGCGATCTTTCTGTAGTGAACATATATTGCTCTTATGACAGAAAAATACAACTAAGAGCAGAAACAGTGGCGGTGGCGAACTGGGCCTGACCTGGGGGAGGCGGCAGGGAGGTGCTCTGTTGGGAAAGAAGAACGGGGAGAGTGCTGGGCAGACACAGGGCATGAGGGATGTCTGAGCTCCAGGTAAACACACTCGAGACTTTTAGCATAGTGTGCCTACACGCTGCCCAGGATATGCTGCGGTTACGTTATGTTCATCCATTGTTTACGGGACATTCCAGTTTAACTGCACACTATGGGTTCTTTGCTTTTTAAATCTAACAACCCAAGCGGAGGAAGGGTGAGCAGCAGGGGCCCTGCTGGGGACAGTCACAGAGCTCAGAGGAATGTGACCTTCTGCACAGGAGGCTCCTCACTCCCTGAGGTGGCAGAGGTTCCCTACTCTCCAGAGGCTTTGTCTGGTGATCTGGAACTAGGGAAGAAAGGGAAGAAATGGTCATGGCACAGCGGCAGCTGTGCCCAGTGAAGGTACAGGACCCTTGCTCCAAAAGCTGAGGGAAGCCAATGTGGTGGTGCACGCCTGTGATCCCAGCACTCCCAGGAGGCTGAGGCAGGAGGATTGCAAGCTCAAGGCCAGCCTGGGCAACTTAGTAACTTAGAGAGACCTTGCCTCAAAGTAAAAAATAAAGGGCTGGGAATGCAGTTCAGTGTGAAGGCCGTGGGTTCAATCTCCAGTACCAAGAAACAAACAAAACAAAACCACTCACAGTATAAAATATGAACCTTTTTCGTCTTCCACAGTATCTCAACTTGGCATGGTGTTTATTTGCCATTTAAATGTCATTCTATGGAAAGAAGATAAGGTTTGAAATTATGTGTTAGTCTGGGTTCTCCAGGAAGACAGAGCAAATACAAGGCAGGGAGATAGTTAGGGGATGGATGGATAGATAGATAGATAACTCTACTATAAAGCATTGAC